AGAGAGAGAGAGAGAGAGAGAGAGAGAGAGAGGAGAGAGAGAGAGAGGTACGTAGTGACGAGTGTGTCTAACGGCCGGCCGGCGTGGCTGGTAAGTCTGTCTGCCTGTTTGTTCTGGCTTGTTTTCTTCCCTGCTGGGTGCTGCTTGTGTGCAATACAGCCGGAGCGTCGAGGTTCCATGGGGGCGGGGACCGAAAACCCAAGAGGGCAAGTCGCGGTTGTCCCCAGTCCAAGGTCCATTTCAGGTGCTCCTCGCATGCCTCGCATGGCGCACCGGTACTTGGCCAAGCTTAATCCAGAGTGTGTTTCTTGTTCACACTGCAGTAGCATTGCTGCCGCCAGTAAGAAGATACTCAAGGGGATGCTGGACCCGACTTTCTTTCGTTGAATGCAGGTAGGTACTGTGTAGAGTGGCCTAGATAAGGCAAGGTAGGTGGTGGTGGCTGACTGACTGAAAGAAGCTCGCAAGCCTGCTACGCTACTCACAAAGTACATTACCTACCACTACCTACCTGCCAGGTTCGCCCATGTCGCCCGCTCTCAGACCCCCACTGAGCCTATTGGCCCGTCCGGGGCGTCGCCTCGGAGTGAGTATGCCGCCTTTGAATGTACATACTCGAACTGCAGGGGTATTTTGGAGGGGGCTTCAGCGAATGGAGGGTTGCGGTCGCGACGCTGCTGCTGCTTCTCTCTTTCTCTTCTCTTCAGGTTCGACTGTAAAGCAAGGCCATGAGATGAGAAAAACTTGGACTGTACTCTCAACATTGCTACGGTGCCCACTACCCAGCCAGCAATAGATACATTGCATGTGAAGTTCAACCCGCTACTACTCCACAACAGGAGGGAGAAGAGAGAGAAAGTATGTGCGAGAGAGAACAGATGACAAGAGTGTGGCAGTCCTGTGCTATGATGATGAACTACAGCAAACGGCTTGAACGTAAATTCTCTGTCTCAAACACGCCCACCCAATTCCGTGCAAGTGCTTTGCTGTCAAAGCCAAGAATAGATAAATGCCCCAAAAAAGACTGCCGAACTCTAAAGAGAAGAGAAACGGGGCCACAGCCAAAGGACTGAATCGTGGAAATTCCGCACACTCGTGGTCGATGGGTGAAGCAAATAAATGGAAAGTACACGACGTGCATATGCCAATGGATGGATGAAGTGGATGCGTCCATGTACGCAGGTATGTAGGGTAGGTAGGTGATGGATGCTGCTGATGCTCGTGGACTCGTGGACTTTCATAGATACTACAGACAGACACACCACATCATGTATATGCAGTACACTACATACTACTCTGTACATGCGTTTTTGAAGACTGCGTGCCTGTTTACTGCTAATGCCACCCATCACACTTACATCGGTAATGCGGCCGAACGCACGATCTATGTCCCAATTCGTTCACCTGGTCCCGACGTTACAAAGACCAATGCAACCGCACCGTTACGCGAGGAAAGTAAAAAGCAGATGGGGACGGCAAAGAGCGAGGGCAAGAAAAAAAAAAAGGAATCTTGGCAACAGCACTCGGTTAATCTTTGGGTGTCGGTCACATCCTGCGAGAGCACTATAAAGGACAATAGAGTGTTGCATTCTGTGCCGGCGTTGCTGATTCACATTCCGGCATCTGCCATGATGTGTAGATAATAGATGATGGTACTATGTGAAAGGAATGACGCGAATGGGGGGCCAGTGGTTAGTCTAGTGTAGACACGGCAGAAGCGTACCGTGACTGTAAAAGCCGAGAATGATGCAATCATTGGATGGATGGGATACAGGACCGTTGGACAACTCTAAAAAGTTTGAGTTTATTTCTGTCTCCTCTTTGACCCAAAAGCAAATAATTTAAAAATTGCTTAGGCGCGATTCTCCGGCAGAGCGGCCCTTGGCTAATCTTGGCTTTTCCGTGCTTTTGATTGATTTTATTTTATTTTCTTTTGGGCCCAGTGGTTCTCTCTTTTTCTTTGGGTTCTACTGGGCGATCTAGTCCACTGGGCTAATACCAAGAAGCAGTAGTACAGCGCACAATTGCCGTAGTCTGGCGAGAAAGGCCGAAAAGCCACCCGCCGGGCGTGCCGGCAGACCGGACCTCGAGACGCTGGGATCAGACTTCTTCTCGTTGCACCATGCCCAGGTAGGTCTTCTCTCTTTTGCTCTTCCAAATGCGGCTTGCCCTGGGATGACCGCCCACCGGGGGTCAGGCATTCTGAGTCAAGTTACCGTTCGGGAAGATTTGCTACTCCATGGAGCGGAAAAGAAAATATACTGCCAAGAGTGACTTTCCAGTTCATCTGCATGCATTTATTCCTCTCGGCCTGCATCTTAATATTAGGCCGTCTCATTTCTTTTCTTCCTTCGGTCTATTGCTATCACTCCGTTGTTTCCAGTAGTATGTGCGGCTCTGGTGTAATAAGTCAAACCTAGACACACAAACAAGTAGACGGTGGCTTCAAACAGATGACATGAGATGTACTCCATCCGTATCCCATTCTGTCCCATCTTGTCCCAGAAACACGAGGAGCTCCACTTCTGTATCTTTATTTGGACGCCTGACACGCACTCGAGTTCTGAGGCTGTCGGGGCCCGTGTTTCGTGGCGTTTCAAGGAAAACCCGGGCTCCCTGGTCGCAGCATAAAGTGTGACTAACAATGAATGAGCTTGTCTTTGCTCTTCTTGCCTAACCCTGGGGCCCGGGTTCGCATTTCCCATGCGTGTTTGATTCTCTTCTTAATTCTCGTTTTCTCTCTCTCCTCTCCACAAACAGACATGCCATGGGGTCTCTGGCCCCGGGTTAGGTTAGCAGCTTACAGTACAATTGACCAATGGCACTTTTGCGGCGTATGCACCGCTCACAGCCTGTCAGGAAATACCGGTACGGTTTTACTGTGTAGACGGACATGTCCCTTGTACCCCTTGCCTTCAAATAGCAAAGCGGGACCAGAGAGCATTAATAAACCTATGACCCAATCTATATATCCACTAATAAATAGCACTATTAAGAGATATCCCAGGTAAAATATCTGTCGAAAGTGGCAAAGTATTAATCCCAGAACACATCTTAGGCGACTGCCATGAATAGTACATAGTATCATAGAAAGACGGGAAACTCCATCCAATGATCATCATGTATTCAACATGAACTATTCGAATGCATATGTCCCCGTTTCTCCTCTTCTTTTTCCC